GGTCTGTGGGGCAACACAGGAGAGGTTGTGACCATGTGGAATGTGCTATGGAAAATATGGACTGGGCATGAGTGGAATGAGAAAGCAAAACCAACTCTGTACCTGTTTTCTATGTATTTCTTTCCTGTTTAATAGGTGCTGCAAATATTTCTTTTTTTCAGTCCAAATACCAAATGGCTACTTTTACTGATAACCTAGTTTTTTTATCCTAATGGGTTCAGGTTAATTGTAAAAATAAAATGTGATTTTCAGTTTTTAAAAGGGTGTAAGAAATGCAGTATACCATAGCATGTGATCACAGAATTATTTTCATATGCATTGTGTATCACAGCTATTTAAGCATTACTGTTGCACCTTTATGAACTGCCACAACTTATACTCTGTCTGCATATTGCATTAAAGGAGGAATTTTTGTTGCTTCATCAGTTAGAATAACAGCAAATCAGCACTGCAGCGAGCATACAAAAATGAGCTGGTTACATCTGTGTATTCAATATTTAATCATCCACCTCCCTTGACGTTGGGATCATCAATCAGTATTCATGTAGTCTTACCCTGTGACATCAAAGGTAACCTGTAACCTTATAGGCTGATAGTCCCAGAAGATTGTGTTTCCTGGTGCTCTCATCCAATAGGACCACTTCTAGATCAGCGAGTGGTAATACCTGCAGCAAAACAATTGCAGAGTAAACAAGATAAATTCAGAGAATCTTTCCGGTCACAGAACTGAATAAAGAGCAAAATAAAAGCACTGATGATGAGGGGATCCTGTGCTCATCACATGATTTGCAACATCAGAGTGAAACAATGCCTGCTGTGTTAGGAAAATTCTGAAATGAAACTAAAATTCAACTAGCAATAAAATTATGATAACAGACACAGTATTCATTTTATATTTCCATTCATATTTTATCAGTGCGCTCAACACTAACACAGGATAACAGCCTGCAGACTTGCAATAAAATGGTAATTAAAGCAATTAAACTTCTCAAATAGAAACAGGAATATTGTAATTATTAACATGTTTTTTATTTTTAGTAAACTGAACCTAACATTTCACTAGGGCTGTCCAGAATATGATCACTGTCACTGAGGGCAAAGTACAGTATACACTTTATGCAAAAGAAACATATATCTCAGTTTTTCTTTCACTGGCTGGAACATAATTGTATGATGTAATTTCATTTTAACAATTTTAAACTCTGCCTGTGCAGTTCAGTATTTCAATTTAAGACTTCCATACTAACATCATTATTTATTAAGGCAATGTAATATTATAGTTCTCAATTGTTTATATGTTTAATGAGTAAAGCAGTACTCATAAAAGCAAAAAGATTAAACAAAAAAATGTGTGCATTTCATTGTTCATAACACTACAGTCTTAAATTTGTATGTGCCTTAAATTGTTTTTGAATGTGGCTTTTAATGGATTTAAAAGAATGCATTGTGTATCTTGTGCTGTACTCTGTTTGGATAACATTTTCAGTGGCTAAATCCATTTAACAAGCCCCTCTGTTTTGGGTAAGATCTTGCCCTACTGCTAATCAGCGCGACGCTGCCCTCCTCTCGTCTCTGGTTATACAGTAATTATTACTTGTTCTAAAAAATTATTTTATTTCTCGTCAGGCCATTCTCTAACTACAAACTGAGTGGTAGTTTCTAATGCTATTTGTAATAGTGATCCCATTATATATTGCTGTGTTGTCCCCCTGGGTCTAGCGAGTTGCTCCACAGAATTATGATCATGGCAATTATCCTTGAAAGTAAGCTGCATTGCTTGCTGTTGATGCTAAGAAGCCCTGAGCATGGCTGACCTATTAACCTCACATACTGTTGCTCGTACTAGTAATTTTGCATGATACTAACAGGTCATGAGCGGCAGTAGTCTTTTCATTTATGCAAAAGACAATTACAGTATCTCCCATACACATTGCACATCATCCATGTTGTGGTTATTAAGAAAACAGCACAACATATGATCAATGTTTTAAAGGTTTAATGATCCCAATGTACATTTTCGTAAACCCATGGGAGGAGTGTGATGTAACTGCAGTTTAAAACATGAAAACGGGAACTCACTTTCCTTTTGTTAACTCAAAGCTGTAGTACATCTAAGTGTGTAACATGCCTGGATTCTCTAGTACTTATCCTTCAGTTTTCTCAGTAGCCTGCTTTCTTGTACTGTATACCTGCACCCAGGATGTAGTTACCTATGTGAAGCAGCTAGTGTTACCCTCAGGCAGTCAGGAGATGAATGACATTTGTCATTCAGGGGCCAGTTGGGACATATAGCTAAGGTTTCAAGAAGTGCTGGCAGGGGTATGACCTGTTTCTTGCGAGAAGAAAAAGCAGTCAGTGGGTGCTCACAGTGCAGCTATTTTCTCAAGAGGCAGTAGAGAGCTGCAGCAGTAGACCCCTTCTGGGGATGGAGAAGGGAATTGTAAGAGTGCTTAGGGTGTACACGTTCTTTGAGAGTTAGGAGGATGAAGAGGTGTTCAGGGCATTGATAGTGTGTGATGCTGTGAGGAAGGTAGGGTAAAGGTGGGAAAGGAGAAGTAAATATGGATACTCATGGATATACAACGAATCTGTTCACCTGATAAAACTACAGTAGTGAGTGTTTCAGGCAAATTGGACATGACTGCAAATTGCAAATAACATTTAAATGCAGTGGCATTTAAATGTGCATCACTAGAGGCTGGATTAAATTCATTTGTTTCAGAGGAGTATCAGTTCTGGGAATTTTACATTCAATCGTAACTGCCACAGTCAAATATTTCATAACTCCCACTTCACTGTCTGCAGAGGTGTACAACAGTATGACGTGACACTGAGGGAGATAGTGCTAAATACAATGCACAAGTTAAAGAATCTAAGAATTCAAGAATAAAACTCAGCAGTTTCCTTCGCCTTTGCTCCCAGATCCCTGATTTGACTCCCACTACACAACCATGCAGCCTCCACCTCCACCACCTACAAATCTCCCTCAGCATCACCTTCCCCCAACCTCATGTGATATAAGCAGTTTTTAATGGCATCCAAACCAGATTCTGATGCAAGTCTCCACTGGTTTCCCAGGAACTGCTCCCTGCCAAGAAATGGTCCAGCACATAAGCCCCTATAAAATGGGTTATGGGTTAATAAATGAAAGGGTTAATATACAGTAACTTGTAATTTAGTGAGCATTAGATGTGCTGCTAGGCAGATTTTGTTAGCTTTGAATGGAACCTCACTGGTTGCTCCCGTTTCCAGATTTAATGCTAAGCTAAGGTAATTTGCTAGTGGGTCCAGCTACATATCATATAGATATGAAAGTGACATTGATCTTTTCATTAAACTCTCAGCAACAAAACAAATAACTATATTTCC